ATGCATCCGTCTTCGTTTGAAGATGCAGTGAATGTGGCATCGAATGCCGAGTTTAGTTTCAAACCGGCACGACTTGGTTGGAATGCACACTCCAAGAGCTCGTCGGGCGGGTCTATGCCCGTGGATCTCAGCTATGCTGAGGACGAGGGATCAGAGCTCCGAGCTGCCGGGCAGCATACGCACATTCTACGGTTTGGTGTTTGTGAAGACGCTCGACATCTTTGGAACGGTTGCCCCCTGCGCAAGGCGCGTCAACGTTCTTGAGACCATCGCCTCAATTTCTACCAGTCTGGTTCGTCGCGGGAAAACGACACCACCCAGTAGGCGCGGGGCGACCTACTGGGGAAAAACTGAATTCTGTTGAGCCCCTCGAGGGCATAGGTCAACTGTGCCCAGCCTTGAAGAGCTCCGTGCTCTTGAAACGGAACATATATGCAAGCCGAGCTTGCTGGTCGTAGAGGCGACCGTAAAGGGCTTCGAGAAGCCAAGAGAAATCCTAATCGATTCCGGGGCGTCGGGCCATTATGCGCGACGCTCTACGATGGAAGTCAGCTGTATGCTGAAGTGCTGAAAGCGCGGTTATGTGACATCGTTACTGTTCGCCTAGGGACGTGGACGCGTGTCACGGTCCTGCAGGTCCCTGTGGACCTCGGAGTCAAGTTCCTTGACTTTGATAGCGTGGAACGCTGTCTAGGTTTTGACTTGGATGCAAGGTCTGACCCCATTCTAGGTATGGTATGGTTGAAACACCATGGACCATGGGTTGATTGGAGGTCAAAGACCTTGGGCGCTTCGCGCACGTCTCCTGGTGGAGCTTTGGCGAGTCATGAACCACCTCTGCTAGGAGACAAAAGCCCTATTGGCGAGAGCACTGGACCGAGGTGGTCAACGTGCTAGTCATTGGAATGTCCGAGCTGGAAGACACCAACGGTGCATTGGACAGGAGTCCCAAGCGTGGCTCGCGGGCTGATCGTGGAGTGGCACGTAACCCACTGAGCGATGCTCACGTTTTGGAGCATTCGCTGCATGTCATGTGTAAGATTCGATCGAGGGCCAAGGCATTGAGGGCGAGGCCCATGTGATGCACGTGGAGTGGCACGTAAACCACTGAGCGCTGCTCGAGTAGCAAAGCAGTCGCTGCATGTCATGCGTGACATGGTCGGTCAAGGGCCGAGGCGTCGAGGGCGAGGCCCTCGTGATGCGCGTGGAGTGGCACGAAAACCACTGAGCACTGCTCTCGTTGCAAAGCAATCGCTGCATGCCATTGATGGCGTGGTCGGACAGAGTTCGAGGCATCTTGGGCACGGCTCTTCAGATTCGCGTGGAGTGGCACGGTATCCACTGGACGAAGACTGCGGGGTTAGCAGTTCTTCGTCGGATGCTGTAGATAGCATCGGAGCTCCAAAGAAGCGGAAAGTGAGGGTGGCACCGGACGACGCAGAATGCGTGTTCACCCTGGTCTCACCGAGACATAGAACCTCTGTACAGAGGCGACGGC